CTTTTGCATTTAATTTCATTTATCAAGTTTCCTAGTTTGATTCTACCATGTATATGGCGTGAATATACTACAAGTATATAGCTGTGTTTGTACGCACAGTACATACGTTAGTTTTAATTTCATTTATCAAGTTTCCTAGTTTCCTAGCACTTTTATTATTGTTATTTTACACACCAGTACCTTACATGTACCTTAGTTGCTAGGAGTTTAATACATATGCAAGTACGTACTAATGTATAGTTTACATATTAGGAGTATATTATGGTTAGGCATTGACCAGTCAACCTTTGTAATTTGCTACTATTATTAACTCTTATATTATAAATTTTATCTTAATAACATGAATATCATATAATGTCACTTTTGATATTTCACCAGGACTTGTTATAAAAATGTTACTTTCGTAATTATTATTAAAAAAATCACTTCTATTTTCTGATTAAGAATGTAACCGATGTTAAACTTTTCTCTCATTCACTTTATTTAAAATGTCACACTTATAACATTTATCAGACTATTTATTCATTTTATCTTATTTTAATTTTTCGAGGTGTCACAATCTACCCTCCTTAAAAGATGCTTCGTCCCGAAGCATATGCTCTAATATAATTTTAATGATATAAAATTATGAAGTGTTACATTACTTTAAAGTCTCACATTCTTCGCCTACGTTCATATTACGCTTTTTCCTAATCTCTCTTTTTTTTTCCTATTATTTCCTACTCTCATTCAAAAAAAATCAGCAGCGACATATACGAGGTACATATATATACGCATATATACATAGAAATTACACTCTTCTTTATACCCCAAAACCAGAGATAAAAACCATCATTAAAGCCTTCTCCTGGTTGAGAGGAATCAAACGGAGAAAGAATCATTGAAAATGAACGTCGGAGGACGGAGAAAGCATTCGCCGGAGTTAGCGCCCGACTGGTCTTCACGCCGGAGAACGAAGAAGAAGAAGCTGGGCTGTTGCCGCCAGACCACCTCACTGCTACTGGAGTCGATGCCGGATTTCCCCGCTCTGGTTTGTACGATCCACGCTCAGGAAGCTGGAGGAAACACGCCGGCATCGTCGCCATCCTTTTCCTGATTCGTAAGTTCGGTTCTGCATGCGTAGTATGGAGTATCTTCACTCCTTTACCACTGCGTCATTTTTTTTCACTAAATGGAGATGGTATGATTATAAAAAAAATGATGATATGTAATGGGTTTGGATAAAAGTTCACTTTTATAGAAATTCATGACTTTTTAATTGGATGATAAAAGTAAGAATAATGAACTAATTAGTTGATATAATTGAGCCAATCGTTAAATTTGACATATACAGAGTATTACTTTGATTCTCTTAATCGGATTTATTTATAATAATGGACCAATTTATTATGGAAGAGCAAATTCACTAATACTTAAACAGACTTGGTATAAATAAAATACGGAGTAATTAATAATGGGAGAATGGAATAAATTGACGTTTTCATAGAATAGTGGACTAGTTACGAAAGTGGAATAGTGGACTAATTATGAAATTGTAATAGAAGGTGATTATTTAGAGACTGAGTTAGAAGAGGCGAACTAAGTAAGAGCGTCATCAATTTTGAGGTAAGTTTCTCTGCCGATCCAAAATTGTTTCCTCGTATTATATGCTTATTATGCATTATGTGATTAAGTGTGAATTTTGAATTATGTGTATGTGATTTTGAGGAGATATTAGATCTATGGTGGTTGAGAAATACAAATTAATTAAGTACTTTTGGGGTATTAAATATTTTTAAATACTTTTGAGACTATTTAGAGAGATTGAGAAATATTTTTGAAGTATACTTAATTCAAGATAAAATTAAGGATTTCATAAGAGGTGAGCACCCGGGAGAAATCCGTGGTGTCGGTTTTCCACATCCGGATAAATGTGGAGGGTGATTAAGGCTGCTACTACTAAGAAGTACAGTTTGAGTTTGAAGTGACATTTGGATCTATGATCCCTTTTAAGAAGAAGTTATAATAGTAGTAGTCCCTAATCATTCAAGAATTTTAAAGGTGGGGTAGTTGGTAGACTGAGTCCCGATTACTCGTGACGACTTACTACTCGGAGGGCTTGGAATCCCTTTTAGGGGGTGTGCACACTTAAGGTAGTCGTTTCGTTTCCGCAAGAGCAGTTGTGGTACCGGCACTTGTTCGGGGTGGCCGTCCGTAACCACGGTCCACCGGGCTCAGTCTAAAGGTTGAGCACCGCCCTTCTAAATTACTAGGAAGTTAGAGAAGAAGTGATTTTTGAGATGATCAAAGAAGAAGAGAATTTTTATGGAGTGCGTTATTTTTATATAGTATTATATAAAAATCTATTTTCGCCAAACCTGATTATTTTACGGGGTTGGGTAGTACTTACTTAGCTCTAAAGCTAATTTTTTGTTTTCTTTCCTTTGTTTTGTTTTCTGCACTTTACTTATGCAGGTGATGATGACCATGTTGATTGATGAGTGCATGCGCCTGAGAGCGGTTGAGAGATGCCTTAGTAAAACTTAGACAAGAATAAACATTTTAGTTATGTCGAATATTTGTTTTACTTTGTTTTATTTTGGGATTGCCTATGCATTCGGTTAAGAGATGACCGGATGTGGCGGTAACACCCATTTCCCTATTAAGACTTCCGCTGTATTTTTCAAATGACTTTATCAATAAATAAATGTTTTATTGCAAATATATCAGTATTTTGGGTGGGAAATTTGGGGGTGTTACAGTTGGACCTACAGTTGGACCTACTGCAATAAATCATTCTCCAACTAAAGTACAACGCCATTAGGCGGAACCGAAAAAATAAAAGACTATCCGACATGAAAAGTGCAGCCTTAGAAATAAACCAATTTTTTTTTTGAAAGGAAATAAAACAATTTATTTTAAGAGTAAGAAACACAGACACTCTAAAAGACAAATTTAAATTTTTTAATTTTAAAGGAATTAGGCAAGCTAAGAGTCAATACAAGCTAAGGCTGTAATAGATATTTCTATAACAAAAAAGTCTAAACAACATGATGAATTGATGATTTCTCGTCATTATTATATTTATTACTCCGTATTTTAAAGAGGTATTTATCTAAATGGGACTAATTAAATCTTTAATTGTCAAATTAGGACTAAAGTTTAAAAATCCCTTGTATAGGATTTATTATTTCTAGTTAGACAAAAAAAACCTTGAGCTTGGTAATGATACTGCCGACCAGAACATCAGACCACCGCCGGTCGCCGGTCGCCGCTGGTCGCCGGACATCGCCGCCACCTCAAAACCGCACGCCGTTGCAGATCTGATAGTTGTCGCTGTCGATATGGTTGCCGCCTCTGCAGGTCCGGCTGCCGCCACCGGAGATTTGGTCCAATCTAGCTTCGCCGGCCGCCATCTGCTTTCTTTGTAGATCTGGCCACCGTTATATCTAATCCGACATCTGCAATTGCAAATATGGCCTCTATCATTGTAGATTTGGTTGTTGCAAGCCATAATGCCAATATTTTTATCAAAATGTCAAAATGAGTCAAAAATGCCATTTAAATGGCATTTTCAAAGAAAAATACAATATCTTGTATAGAATAAAAATGTCATTTTAATGGCATTTCCAGAATGCCATTTTTTTGTAGAATAAAAATGTCATTTTAATGGCATTTTTTTACAAATCAAAGAACAAGAGAAGAGGGGAGGAAGCACATGAATAAAAATCAAAGAAGATAACTTGACCTTCGAAGAAGAGAAGTAAACCTCCGGCGGCGACGGCAGCGGACTTCGAATCGGCGGCGGCGGACTTCGAATCAGCGGCGGCGGACTTTGAAAGTACCTGTGGAGAAGGAAAATCGATCTACACCGGCGAGTGACGGCAGTGAACTTTCCGGCGGCGGCGCGATGGCTATGATTGGTTGTTCTTGTTTGAAGAAGAGAAGAAGATTTGCACCTAGAAGAGAAAGTGTGCAATGGATGGAAAAGATGCGCAGGGGAGGAAAGATAAGATGCGCAAGTGAGAACTGAGAAAGAAGTCTGGACTGTGTGCGGGCAAAATAAATAAAATAGGGGTAAATATGTAATCTAGTCCCATTTAGGGAATAAAATTATACATGGTCCTGTTTTGGAATTTCATGAACAATTTAATCCTAGTTAGAGCAAAAAACTCTATTTTAAATAAACAATGATGAATTGATGATGATTCAAACTAACTTTGATCAAGCAATAACGTTTTTTATCTTCATGCAAACAGTAAACTTTACGTATGTAACATGATATTTAAAGTGCTCATTTGCTAACTAAGATTCTAAGAATGAAATTAGTTTGTTGATTGAATTTGCTGAAAACGGAGTTTGTTATTACAATTTTTCTTTGATGAGGAATGATCCTGTCCAGCCGGAGGGACAGGATCTTCCGTCCGGCCGCCGCCGTTTGGGGCGGTTCCCGGTGGAGTTTTTTGATGAAATTTTTATGGAATGTTACTCATCAAGTCTAGTTTACCCACAAAAAATTTCAGCTAAAAATTCGATCGGGAAGGCAGTCAAATAAATTTTTGAAGATAACTGCTCCAACTTAAACATATAAAACGCAGTTATGTTTCAAAAAATTATTTGACTGCCTTCCCGATCGAATTTTTAGCTGAAATTTTTTGTGGATAAACTAGACTTGATGAGGAACATTCCATAAAAATTTCATCAAAAAACTCCACCGGGAACCGCCCCAAACGGCGGCGGCCGGACGGGGGATCCTGTCCCTCCGGCTGGACAGGATCTTTTCCGTTTCTTTGATTTATCTTAACCTATCTTATAAAGGACAGTTTTTCATATTAAATGCTCTTTCATGCTTTATCATATTGTACACTATGTCCTTGGGGTTGTACCAATACTACTAAGTTAAGTTATAATGCTAACGGTGTTATATTGTTAACTTAACGGTGTTAAGTTAAGTTATTGTGATACCCACCATAAGATACACCACCGTGAGCAAATTAATACTCTGTACACAGAGCACCACTTCCGACCTTCGGCTTATCCGCTAAATTGTTGCTAAAAAGTTTTCTTGAAAATGGAGAGCTCCCCCAAATCCAGGCGGTCTTCCTCCAGGCAGCAGCAGCAGTGCCACGACGATGACAACGATCGTCGGCAGCAGCTCGGGCCGGCAACGATGATTTAGCTCCTGCGTACACCAGTACGGCGTTTCCTTTTCTCCGGCAAGAAAGCGGTCTGGCGATCCCGGCGTGAGACTCGGGAGTATTTCTCCTCTGAAGACGACACTCTCTCTTCCTTTTTTTATGGGTTACATACACTCCCGATGTTAAAATCCGCTTAAGTGGACAAGATGATGAGGTTTCCGTCATTTAATATTCAACTTTCCTACCGGTTTGGTGTTCGAGGTAATTTTCTCATGTCTTTTTATGATTAAATGTTGAATTTATTCAACTTCATGTAAACTTTTGTTGGCAGATGGATTGAATACATCTTATCAATTCTGTTCAAATTACTCACCTTAAAGTAGTGTGTTATCTACGATTTGAAAACAAAACAAAAAAAACATTAGAGGCTTTTTTTACTCCCTCCGTCCCGGGGAGAAGTTCCCGGGTTGACTTTCACACATTTTTAGGAAATAAAGTTACTCAGGGGTAAATTTTACTGTTTTGCACTTTTTCGACACTGTTTGGCACTGTTTCGCCACTTTTTGGCATTGTTTTGCACTGTTTGACACTATTTTAATGTAGGATAACTTTCCATTTAGGGAAATGGGAAGTTTCTTTTGGGACATCTAAATAAGGAAATTGGGAACTTCTCCCCGGGACGGAGGGAGTAATAAAAATCAAACCCACTACATGTTCGTTTATATTCCTAATAGAACAGTTCTACATGTCAGTTTGCAGACCAAATATTTTGAAGGATTGAATAGTTTTGTCATAAAGACATGAACCTAAGGCTCTGGCAGCTAGCATATATGTCCTATTTAAGTATTTAATAATATTAGGTGTTTGTTACTACAATGTGACCTCTTATTTTAAAGTGGACCACAAGTGGTAATATAATTAGTAGAGACAGAACTTCCAAGACATTTTAGGTATATGCTAATATATTGTGTATGAATGGTACTATGCTCATTTTAATTCAAAAGTGCAACTAGAAAGTCAAAAAGAAACTTGAATCTGCAAAGCAAATCTTTCGGATTCTGCAATTTTAAGCCAAAGACTAAACCTGACCTCTAAATAATACCTACAGTAGTTGCTTAACCATTCCATGATACTTTATAAACTGCCACAAATCAAATGCATTTTGTCCTCAAAATAAGTGTACATTTAAAACCCCATTTTTTTAGAATTTGTGCTCTTGACATGCAAGCTTGGGATTCTGGTCTAAAAGCAAAAACAACTCCCAGGTTTTTTGGATTTTTGTTTCATTTAATTTGAATAATTCAACAAATGCACAGTTCAATTACACATGTTCAACCATATATTATGATTTTTCTGCATTTTTTGCTGCACTTCTTATGTTATTAACACCTCAATTACGATTAAATAGTCTCCACAAGTTCATATGAAAGGAAATTAAAAAAACATTAGGCGTTTGATAATATGCCGAGGTTATTTCATTGTGTTTCCCTTTGTGTGTAGTTTTTTAGCAATCACAATCATATCAGGTTTTCACTTCTCTAAATGATAGTTTTTCATTGAGGCTTAAAATGGTCTGTGTTGTTTTCAAGAACATGTTTTCAACTCCTAAGATATATTCAAGCAACAAAACTTTAGTGCTTTTTGTAGAGTTTAAGTTAGGAATTAAAATACCCAAACTGAATTAGAAAAAGTATATAACAAAATGCTATATAAAAATGTCTTTGAGAGCAAACCTCGTCATTTGATAATCAAAAGCACAAAAACATTAAAATACTTATTCATTTTGATATAGAATAATTTTTATCCCCTTTGTGGAGTTAAGTGGGGGAATGAAAGGCTAATATGAACTAAAAAGGGTATAAAACTGAATTTTATATAGTACTACGTATATTAATAAAATAATAAATGTCAATATATGTACACTTAGCATTTGGGGCTACTATGTCTTCCCTCTGTCTCCAAGCATCACCACAGACACTCTATCTTCTCTATTAGTTGCAATGGCATTTTGGGGTGTTGAAGTTAAACAAGGGCAGTCCCTAAACGTTTACACTGAGTAAGTGATCCATATTTTTCAGACATCTTTGGAGAGACCTTTGTCATAGATACTAACTCAGTTGGAGAAAGATCACAAATAATGTGCGACTTGAAAAGTGGAAGTGTGTGAACCACAATTCGAAGAAGAAAATGATTACGATACCTTTGAGTCTCAAGAAGTTTTACTCATAAATGCCCTGGAAAATGATAAACCTGAAGCCAAGGCTTTTGATGGGTTGAAGCAGGAGGAGAAAAGGAAAGTTGGTAACCACTAAGTGCTTTCTAAGAAATCAGCATTGAAATCATCAAAACTAGCTGTAGAATATCATGATCCCGATGATAGTGATGACTCTTTTGATGATGATGATTTTGGCAGTGAGGATCAAATTTTGATGAAAGGATGGAAGTTATTGCCTCAAATGATGAAGCTGAATCCGAGGAAGGTTATTCAGATGAAGAATTATTACTAGAAGTAACTTTGAGTAATGGACATATAACTTCCCGTCATATTAAAATTGAATGATTATAAAATGCAAATCACTTTAATTATATTATGATTTTTTATATTTTCTTTTCAAGCTGCCTTAATATTTTCCAGATATATATACTAGGGCTCCCAAACTCCTCTTATGTCTCTTTATTATTTAAGTATATACTTTCACACCAATAATGTTCATATCTCATCAGTCACTTAATCATTTTTCATAGTGTTTATTGTAACACCAGCTAATTCATAAAAAATGAACATTATACTTGTGTTGAAAACATTTTACAAAATTCATAAAAAATGAGTGTTGGGCATATAATATTCGCGCAACGCGCGATCAATTTACTAGTTAATCATATAAACTTTAAATATGGAGCGTAATTTTTCATATTTCAGCCAACATGATATTAATAAATTAAGGATGTTTTCTTTTGGACTGAAATTTGCTGGTCTGGTCTGGTCTGTTTAAGTCTGGTCTGGTCTGGTCTGTTTAAGTCTGGTCTGGTCTGGTCTGGTCTGAACTGGTCTGGTCTGGTCTGGTAAACGTCTGGTCTCTGTGTATTTTATAACTACGGAAGTCTGGTCTGGTCTGGTCTGTTTAAGTCTGGTCTGGTCTGGTCTGGTCTGGTCTGGTCTGTTTAAGTCTGGTCTGGTCTGGTCTGGTCTGTTTAAGTCTGGTCTGGTCTGGTCTGGGACTGAAAACAGTCCAAAAGAAAACATCCTAAGTGTGTAAATAGTTAACTAAGACCAGAATTACTATGTGACCGGTTTTGTCTGGATTGGAATTAGAATAATGCTAAATTTTGAAAATTACCTGTAAGATTTCCGCGTATGAAAATTAGCAAACAGAATAAGACTCATTATATTTGATCTGAGTCAGTTTTTGGTAGCCTGGTTCGGTCTAAATATTGTAGGGCCAGTTAAAGCCTAAACGATAAATCGTCACAAATACAAATCATGATTTATGATTTATTATATTTTAGCACAAACAATTGTCTCCAAAATCACTACAAATTCAAATAACATTTAGTGAGTTCGTATTCGGTTCGATCCGTATTCGGTTCGGTCCAATTAATTTTGTGTTTAAGATACATATAAATAAATAATGTTACCATATTATATTGAATTTATATTAAAGGTAATCATTTGTAGTTATGACCATTCAGGTCTATATTATAGATTTTAGGGACCGTTAGTGAGTTCGTATTCGGTTGGGTCTGGATATTTTTGACCGGGCCATAGAAAAGAAAGTAACCCAGACTGGTGACATCATATATAGAGTTTGTTTACGAGTTCCCATCGGGTTTGGTTTTTACAACCCCTTGTTACAATTATGGCTGAATTTTCTAAAAGTTTTAATATTAACTTTTGAAATTTTTCCTACACTATTTCTAATAAAAAAGTCATGGACAATATATGATTTAGTAGCTATTAGTGATTGTAATTTTATTCGATCAATATTTATATGATAGTCATTACATATAAAGTTAAAAAATATTTGTCCTACACGTGAAAGTTATAAAACAATAAAACATTATATAAGATTCTGGACTACTCCTTCTATCAGGTTGATCGTTTAGGATGGAATCTCGGATTTTTAACATGTAGTCACGATGATAAAAAATTTAAACACGGTTATAATCACCAATGATGCTTTTGCTTGAATTGTTTTCAGTCTCAGACCAGTCCAGACCAAACCAAATCAAATTAGACTAAACCAGATCAGGCCAAACTTAGACATTTATAAAATACATAGAGATTACAGGACCCTTTCTCTCCAGAACATGCTTTGGAATTTGACAGATGTAAGTAGTGTCTTGAATTCTATTACTTGTATATCATTATGTTTCAACCATTTTAGATTTCGTACAGTTTTTATTTCATTTATTTGTTTATCTTGTTTGTTTAGTTCCAGAAAACAACAACGTCGAATGGAATCAGTTTTTTGGAGGACCATATAGTTGCCGTTCACGTTATAATTGTATTAATATTGCCAGAAACGAAAATGGGTGCTTCTCACAGGAACTTGAACTTCAAAATCGGATAAAGAATGGGAATCCAAGAGATAGGCAAGAAGTTCTTGATGGGGTTATTAGTTCCATATTTGAGGTGATGATAGATCCACATGGCCACCATCTCTTCCTAACTCTCGAGTTTTGTGATTCTAGTCAGTTCGACACCATCTTCGTCACCCTGATATCATCCAAGGAGTTGTTTATCAACACATCTCTTGTGCAATACGGGTACAAAGAATTATTAAATTCATGCATAGTTGTCTTGATAATGATTTTTCAATGTTTTAGTGTTTTGTTACAATCAATGTATTACTACCAATTAAGTTCATATCACATTAATGCTATGATGATAGGTCAAGTGCAGTTCAAAGATTTATCAAGAGACTTAAAAACACAGGGTTGGGGCAATTCGTTGCAATCATCCTTTCCAGGAGATTTGTCGAGTTGATGACTAGCGAGCACGGTAGATTTGTAGTTCACCTTTCGAGGCTAAAGAAAACGAGGTCTTTGACTCAACTTAAATATAATCTTACTAATTTCATACTTTTTACATTATTACCCTATATTATATGTTATTATATATACATAAAACAATGGTTGGTTGGAGATGCAACACAGGTTATGCTACGGACTTTAATTATTGAGTCTACTTTCATTTAACAAGTACTGCTATAAACCTATAACATGATACTGTTTCAAAATAATATATACAAATGATAGATTTGTATATTAATTTACAACGTCTTAGTCGTCGTTTTTTATCACATTTTATTTACTTCGGTATAATAAAGTGGACGCATGGGCTATATGAATTCCATTAATCTAGTAATTGGAACACCGGATAAAATACATTTTAGAATGAAAAATGACCTCATCTTCCATAATATATCATACCGGAGGACTATTTTCAAGAGTTAGAGTTTATTTCCTAAGAAGAATTAAATTAAAATAATTTAAACATTATAGACCTTGTAACAGTATGCTATCTCACTACAATTTCTTAACTTACTGACATAGGTTCTATTTGCTTGTGCAATCTCTTCCTTGAAAGAGGTGGCAACAACACAATACGGATGTTCATCCTTGAATGTTTGCTTGAGTTGTATTAGTGGTGTCCAAAGACAACTAATGCTCAAAAGTATTGCAGAAAAGTCTGCCTTCTTAGCCAATGATCCGTATGGGTATGTACCTTTTCACTCTTCAACTATGAATCTGAATATGATATCACAACTTTCTCACTCTTTGACTAACCAAACTTGATTTTACCTCTCTTCAAATAGGAATTACGTTGTCCAGGAAGTTCTAATGCTTAGAAACGATGAAATCACACAAAAAACATGTGACCACCTCAAGAGGGATTACCTACGCTTAGCTTTTAAAAGAAGTGGAAGTCGTGTTGTCTAAAAATGCATACTAGCTTCAGAGTATGGACTGGATTCGGTAGTCGAGGGCCTTCTTAGCAGTGAAAAGAGCTTAGTGCTACTTGCCCGTGATCGGTTTGGAAATTATGTTATCCAAATAGCTCTTCGGACCACAAAGGTAAATAAAACTCATCTTATAAATAATCTAAAATATAATGCACTATATATTATCTATTGCTACTAATCTTGTTATGGATTTTTCTTTTTCTGCATGCAGGCAATTAATATCAAGCATTATGAATCTCTTGCTACTGTCCTTATGGCGCAACGCTCGGCTCTTTCTCATACCAAACTTGGGAAACATATATTGAATCAAGTAGAAGATTTGTAAAACAATGTGGAAAATGTCTGATCTGATTTTTTAATCAGTTCATACTTATTGAAATGCAAGCCTGAAACTCAGTTTGGAAAGTAATATTATTAATATTATTCGAATATTAAGTAGTTTAGTTTTATTAGTTTAAATATGCACCTTTGTGCATGCGTTATGGAGATGAGTGAAATAAATAGCTTCTTCTAATGACTTTTTATCTTCTTTCAATACATTCCTTTTACATATTAGCATGCACGAGGTTTCATTTATATAGAATGGAACAACTTGCTCACTCACTGACTGAAGTTTAACACTTTAACTGTAGTTTAACACTTTAACTGTTTCTAGTTTCAACTGTTAATGTAATACCCCTGTACAATAATAATGGAGTAATAATTAATAAGTGAATATTTTTACATGTAACTTACAGTTCAAGATGAGATAAACGATATTGGGTGAACATACTTGCTTTATACGAAATTACGAAGTATATAAAATACAAATCATAACAAAGCTGAAAACAATTATAAAAACATCATAGAAAGAAACCAATACTTCAAAAGTGTAAATGGCCACTCTAGCTATATGCCATATGTTGATGTTTCAAACAAGCCTTTTGTACGAAATTCCATGTACTTATAAGATCACTTATAAAATTTGAGAACATAATTACAGTAGTCCAAATATAATTTCATATGGTCGTTGAGAGAGAGGATTGCAGAATTTTAGCCAATTAAATTACAGATTTTTAACAGGCTACTCTGCATAACTTTGGATGATCAATACAGCTTGTTTCGAAAACAAATTTGTAGAGAGAAACTGCAGAATTTTGTGAGCAAAACGTAACCATGCTATTAGTTTCTCAAATTTACTATCAAAATGTCAATAAGATAGTACTAAAAAGTCATTAATTACTTGAAAGAGAACATTTCTGATTTGATTTGTCCAAAACTAGTCACCGAATTGTAAATTTTGACATTGAGATTACCAAGTTGTAAATTTTGACCTTGAGATCACCAAATCTGTAGGGCCCTGATCGATCACATAATAAAAATAAGTCCTATGACTGAAGAAATTCTTTCAACAAGTGTAAAAAAGATAACAATTTTTCTGAAAACGCATTTTCTTGTACTTGTTTTCTTCGAACTCAATCACTCAATCACTCATTCTCTCGTACTGCAGTATTATTTTAATAGGACTAAATAAGTCTTATTTTAAAAAGAAAATTTTGTATTCTTATATTTTAACTTTTTCCTATATTTTACTCCTATTTTGATCAATATCTATTTTGTAATCCATACAGTGAACAGCAATTTGAAGTGATGAAGTTTAATTCCAATTACGAGAACTAATCTACGAAAGCATATGAAATTTAGGCAACTTAAGGCAATATTATTGTTCCAGAGACGGATACCTTTTTGGGTATGTAAGGAAGTATTTAATAATAGACATGAGGTTACAGTCATTCAAGGAAATAAAACTGATGCATTAATACATTTAGTTATGATGGGAGTCTTGTAACGTCTCAATTATTGTGAAATCATTACTCCCTTAGGTCCACGTCTCTTCCGTTAGTTTCTTGCCACTGCCAGATAGCTATGCTCGAATGGTAGCCTGCCACATAAGCCCTAGAATGAGTCCGGCCTCGCTAGAATCCCGTCCAAGCTCGAGGTCTGCTGTCCAGATCGACCTGGTTGTGTGTTCTTTGGCAGGTCGAGTTCCTGGTTATGTCCAACGGCTACTATTAATTATTGATCCCGACTAATGGGCTGGATTTGATGTTCCCATGTAATGCGCTTTCCTTGATTCATTCTTGGGCCAGGGTTGCGGGAGTCCAACTGAGCAATAGTCCAGCAGAGCAGAAGCCCAAGACGGTCTGCTACCGGCCCAACTGGAAGCATGCACCAACCTAACCAGGAGTCTGCCTTCAACGTAACCCACCGGGGAGCCTGCCTACCAGTCCAACTGAAAGTCGGTCTGTCAGTCTAGCAGGGAGGGAGCTCAAGCGTCAGGCCTGCCTGCCAGGCCAACCCGCCATCTGAGAACAGTAATGGTCAAACATTAATACACTTTTTAATTATGTATTTAATTCCGTATTAATGTTGTCATTAATTAGTTATACAAATTATAACAAACTATTTCTTGTAACTATACCTTCTGAGCACTTGTCATTTTCGTTCTTTCTATTTCCTACTAGAGTGTTCTGTCATAACTTCCTAAAAGCTTATGAACGTCCATTTTTGGACCAACAATATTCATTCCATAAACAAAAAATTTATAGGCAAAACGAAAAGATTTGTGCACTATATTGTTAGACATCTCTCTTTCAAGCATCTAATGATGATACAAAACAACAATGGGAAAATGGAAACTAACAATCCAACCTTTTAGCGGTCTTCTTACAATAGTCCCACATTTTTGTTATTCATGAATAATCCAACATTTGCACCTCATCTTCATTCAGTGGTCCCTGGTCGGTTGATGACATGTTATTCTAAGTTATTTTCTTATCTTTGCAAACCATTATACCATAAATCTCACCTTTCACAAAGATAATATTTTGCAAAGATAAGAAAATAACTTGGAATAGCTGGTCAGGAACCAGCGAATGAAGATGAGGTGCAAAGGTTGAATTATTCATATAATAACGAAAAGGTGGGACAATTGTAAGAGACCGCTAAAAGGTTGGATTATTAGTTTTCATTTTCCCAACAACAATTAGCTTTTTTTCCCGTAACAATTAGGGCTAGTGAAAGTTGTTATCTCAATATCTCATCATATATACAAGAACGTGAACCGTTTAGTGTTACACGTTATGTACAACGTAGTAGTATATAATTGGCATTTTGAAATAGTTACTCAGACATGCACTAATGTGTTCTCTCTCTTTCTTTGTTTTTTAAAAAAGAAAAACATTTTTATTGATGAAAAAGATTACAAGCTCTATTGTGGAAAGATAATAAGTACTACACAAAGCTAATGAAGAGAATAATGCTAAGTTAACATGAGAGACCGGAACATGCAGTTAGTTTCAAGATAAAAGCCTATGTTATGAAGCGATGCGTTCACTCGATCGTTCTAATGATCTTATGTTCGAATTTTGGAGGATTTGATCTAAAAGAGACCTTCTGATAGGTATATATTCAATTTCAGTGCCAGAATCTGAACCTGATTTAGTTGACATGCTAATAACCCCTCAATCTCTGGAATGTCTGAAGCGATCACCTGTAAGGGCTTTTCTTCTAAAATGTCCAAGTCACTATTAGATATTTCGGGCCTGTTTACTAACAGAGATATTTTCCTGTTTTCTACTTCTGTTTTTTGTTCTCCAATTTTCTGTTTTTATTTTTCAGTTTTTTTATCTCCAATTTTCTGTTTCTATTTTTTAGTTTTTCATTTTCAAATCTGAAAACATGTTCATCAATTTTTTCACTCAGTTCTCCAATTCTAGACCTCTACCCTTACCACGATCTTACACTCTACCCATACTCCCCCACAACCCTTCATACCCACCCATACCTACTCGTAGGGGTCGGGTAGGGAAGTTGTGGGTGGGGGTGGGGTAAGGGGTATGGTCGAGGTGGGGTGGTAAGGTCTAGGGCTAGGGGGTTGGGTGGGGGTAGTTGGTGGGTTAGGGTCGTGGTTAGGGTTAAGGGTGGGGTAGTGGGTAGGGTTTGGGGTAAGGTAGAGGTAGGGTATGGAGTTGGGATACGATGGCGGCACGGTGGGGCCGGGACCAGGGTGGGGTCGAGACCAGGGTTCGGCTGAGGTAGGGAAGGGGTAGGGGTGGGGGGGTAGGATTGCAGTAGGGGTGGGGGGTAGTGGGTAGGGTTGGGGTAAGGTAGGGGTAGTGGGATAGATGGCGATAGGGTGGGCCCGGGATCTGGGTGGGGCCGAGATAGGGGAAAGGTAGGGTGGGGGTAGGATGGCGGTGGGGTGGGGCCGAGGTAGGGGCAAGTGGTAAGGGGTAAGGGGTAATATACGGGTGGGGGTATGGTAGGGTGGGTTGGGGTCGAGGTGGTAGGGGGGTGGCGGTAGGGTGGGCCCGGGATCTGGGTGGGGCCTAGGTAGGGGAAGCCGGGAAGGGTAGGGTGGGGGGTAGGATGGGGGTAGGATGGCGGTACGAGGGTGGGGGTAGGATGGCGGTACGAGGGTGGGGGTAGGATGGCGGTGGGGTGGGGCCGAGGTAGGGGCATGTGGTAAGGGGTAATATATGGGTGGGGGTAGGGTAAGGTGGGGTCGAGGTGGTAGGGGGGTGGTGGTAGGGTAGGGTGGATGGGGGTGGGGGCCGGGGTGGGGTAGGGTCATTATAGGGGAATATGGGTATGCGGGGTTGGGTTGGGTGGGTAAGGTAGGGTAGGGTAGGGTAGGGTAGGGTAGGGGTAAGGGGTAAGGTACGAGGATGGAGGTACCGGAATGGAATCGACATCGGAGCGGGACCGGACCCACCACTAGGTGTAAGTATGCAAATTCATTGCAGCATCTTTGTTTTCCAAATTTGGAAAACTAGTAAAAGTCACTTCTCCAAATCATTAAGGAAAAGAGAGACATGTCTCATTTTTTCCGTTTTGGAAAACGGTTTGGTAAACGCGTTTTTCTTTTTTCCTTTCTCCAGTTTTCCAGGAATTTCTTTGGTAAACACGTTTCCTGTTTTCTGTTTTCCCGTTTTCCAGTTTTCTAGAAAACTGGAAAATATCTCTGTTAGTAAACAGGCCCGAATAATGAGAAGATGAAGAGTGAAGGATCCCAATATTCTTTAAATCTTGCCCAAATAATAATGATGAAATAGATGGTGGTTCAATAGCCTTAAAATCCCCTAGACTAACTCCACATATTTCAGAACATAAATCGAACTCCCTAAAGCTTGCACCCTTTGTAGCTCTATATCAAAGAGTTGAAAACCTTCAAGCCTGTTTACTAACAGAGATATTTTCCAGTTTTCCAGAAAACTGGAAAACAGAAAACAGGAAACGTGTTTACCAAAGAAAATTGCTGGAAAACTGGAGAAAGGAAAACAGAAAAACATGTTTACCAAATCTTTTTCCAAAACGAAAAAAATGAAATATGTCTCTCTTTTCCTTAATGATTTGGAGAAGTGACTTTTACTAGTTTTCCAAATTTGGAAAACGCAGATGCTAGAGTGCCGCTGCAATGAATTTGAATACTTACACCTAGTGGTGGGTCCGGTCCCGCTCCGATGTTGATTATATTCCGGTACCTCCATCCTCGTACCTTACCCCTACCCT